GTGGTAGGCCTGGAGGAATGCCGGGACGGTCTGTCCCTGCTCAATGCGCGCGCTTGGGTTCGGTCCCCCCGCGGCCCTCCGGAGGCCGCGCAGCGGAGGCCGCTCCTTGCCTGGGGCCTGTAGGGCCACGCTTGCGTGCAGTCGACCAGTCAGACATCATCGGCTTACATTCGGCGGCGAGCGTGGGGGGGGGGGGGAAATGAGAAGGAGAAGGCCTTCTCAGAAGGCGGCGGGACTTCTCAGGAGCCCTCGCGCCCTCTGAGAAGCCTGTTCCGTCTTCGGGGAGTGGCTTCGACAACCTCTGAGAATGCCGGGGGGTCTTCCGGGCCTTCTGAGGAGGCCCGCCCCTTCTCACTTCCCCCCCTCGCTCGCCACCGGCACGTGATTGCTCGATTCTGCGGCCCCATGGCTTCCGGCCCCTGCCCCAGGGGGGGCCTGGCGTCCCCGATCCCGACGCGCCCCCCCGGAGGCCGGCCTCGAGGCAAGACTGCACCCCAGACAGGATCGCGCCGTAAAACAGCTCAGGACGGGAGGTTTTTGGCCCATTTTCGGCCCCTGGGTGCGCCCTCGCCGGGCCTCGGGGCCGTCAACAAAAACGACTCAGGACGAAAAGCCGGTCCCGGGGAACGGGTCGGGGAGGAGGAGGAGGAGGAGGAGGAGGAGGAGGAGGAGGAGGAGGAAGGAGGAAGAGGGGGGGAGAGTAGGGGGAGGAGGTGTAGGAGGAGGAGGAGAAGGAGGAGGAGGAGGAGGAGGAGGACGCTGTACTGAAAAAATCAGGGCGTCACATGTCTGTGCAAGCACAAGGGTGACCCTTCGCTGGAGCGAGCTGTGGTTTCGGGCACGCGCGGGGCCCCGGCGCAGACCTGCGAGGAGCGGGCTCGGGGCCGCAGCACCAGTGGAGCGTGCCGGGTGTGCGCCGGTGCCTCCTCCACCCTGCGGGCCCCCCGCTTCCTCCTCCATCACATCGTTCTCCCTCCCTCCTCGTCACACTGCTGCCTCCTTCCTCCTCCTCCTCCTCCTCCTCCTCCTCCTCCTCCTCTTCCTCCTCCTCCTCCTCCTCCTCCTTTGCCAACTTCCCCACACTTCCTCCACCTCCTCGTCGTCGTCCTCCTCCTCCTCCTCCTGAGCCTCCTCCTCCTGAGCCTCCTCCTCCTCCTCGGGGAGGGTTGCGCCTGAGGCCCAAGCTCGGCGTTCGTCGACTTCCCCGTCCGCGCAAGGCACAACAGAACGACGGGGGTGGCGGCGTGAGAGCGCCGCTCGAGACCCAAGGCCGCCAGGACTTCGGTTTCCTGGGAGCTCTTACCTTCTCTTCTTCTTCTTCCTGCTCATCCACCTCCTCGTCCTCCCCTCTTCTCCTCGACAGGAGTGGGCAGGGAGGAACATGATGGAGGAGCGCGGGACGGGCGAGAGCGGCGTTGCCTGTTTTCGAGGGGCGGGCAGAAGATTCTCAGGCTTACGCCACACCGCCGACCCCTTTTGTTTTTTTAGGGGGGCTTCCGGGGGTCCCTGGGGCACGTTGGGGGCGTCTTGGAGCCGAAGGTTCGAAGTGTCCGTTCCGGTTCTCCGTCCGGCTGACTGGGAGTCTCTCTGTCCGTCTTGGAGCTCTCCTGGTGGTCCTTTTGCCGTCTTGGAGCCCTCCTGGCGTCCAAAGGCGAACCTGCTGAAAATATATGCTTTTCGCTCTTTGTGCTCGGAGTCGTTCGGGGAAGCCTCTTGGAGGCCTTAGGGGTCCAGCCCAGGGCCGCTCCCGTGGTCCATCCGGTGCAGTTCTTCATCTCCGATCGATCTCCGAGGGTCCTGGGGTCTCGTAGGGCAATACCCGGACAACCATTCGGACGATCATCGGGACAACCATCGGGGGAATCCCATGCACGACATGAACCGACAACGAAACCGATTTCTTGGTTGGGGGCACTTGCGGTCAGACCCCCCTAACCTTCGATCTGTTGCGTTCGGGCCATCCCGCCATCGTGCTTGGTTAGTGGGTCCGAGGCCACCCTGATGGGTCATGGGGCCCCGTGGGATGTCTTTCGGGGCTTGTGGCAACGTGGCAACGTGGCAACGTGGCCTTTTCAGCACCTTGAGTCTACCCGAAGCAGTTTGGAGGCGTCTGGGGTCTTTTGGATTATGAGGTAGCCTCGGGGGCAAAAACGTTGAAAGAACAAGCGGACATCAATGATTGCGGCCTACTAGGGCCCTTTGGGGGGGCCTCTTGGAGTCTTCTTGGAGCGTCTGCAGAGCATCTTGGAGGCCATCTTGGACGTCGTGATTGGGACTTAGAGTGGCGAAGGGGGTCCACGATGCGGTCCAGGGCGATCACTTGAAGGTCAGGAGTAGCTAAGTCGAAGCCTCACGGGATCGGGGCAAAGCACATCGGAACCTCGAATGGGGCTTCTGAGAAACGTAGCAAAGCACGAGGATCTTGGCAGAGCATCTCGGAACCTCGAAGGGGCTGATAAGAAATGTAGTGAAGACCTCGAAAAACCCTTGTCGTGAAACCCTTTCGAAACCGACTTGGGGGCCTCTGGGGGGCCCCTTGGAGCCTCTTGGGGGCCTCTGGGGAGCCTCTTTGGGCGCCTCTTGTGCCATCTTGGGAGCTTCTTGGAAGCCTATGGGGCCGTCTTAGGGCGGTCTTGGAGGCATCTTGGAGGGTTTTCCGCGCTGTGAAGGGCGAATAGTCGTATACGCTAGACAGGTGCGTTTTCTGAAGGGAATTTGAAGAGTTTGGCCTCTTGGAGGCCTCCTGGGAGGCCTCTTGGAACGTGTTGGCGGCTTCTTGCGCCGTCTTCGGCCCATGTTAGGCGTCTTTGTTCGTTGGGATCTCGTGAGAAGCCTCTCAGAAGCTTGCCCGAAGCAGTTTGGAGGCGTCCGGGCTCTTTTGGATTATGAGGTCGCCTCGGGGGCAAAAACGTTGAAAGAACAAGCGGACATCAATGATTGCGGCCTACTGGGGCCCCTTGGGGGGGCCTCTTGGAGTCTTCTTGGGGCGTCTGCAGAGCATCTGAGAGGCCATCTTAGACGTCGTGATTGGCGACTAGAGTGGCGAAGGGGGTCCACGATGCGGTCCAGGGCGATCACTTGAAGGTCAGGAGTAGCTAAGTCGAAGCCTCACGGGGATCGTGGCAAAGCACATCGGAACCTCGAATGCGGCTTCTGAGAAAGGTAGTGAAGCACGAGGATATTGGCAAAGCATCTCGGAACCTCGAAGGGGCTGAATAGAAATGTAGAGAAGCCCCCGAAAACCCTTGTCGTGAGACCCTTTCGAAGCCGACTTGGGGGCATCTGGGGATCGGGGCAAAGCACATCGGAACCTCGAATGGGGCTTCTGAGAAACGTAGGAAAGCACGAGGATCTTGGCAGAGCATCTCGGAACCTCGAAGGGGCTGATAAGAAATGTAGTGAAGCCCTCGAAAACCCTTGTCGTGAGACCCTTTGGGGGGCCTCGTGGGGCCCCTTGGGGCTTTTTGGGGGCCTCTGGGGGGCCTCTTGGGGCCTCTTGGGGGCCTCTTGGGAGCGTCTGGAGGCCTTTTTGGAGCCTCTTGTGGTCTCTTGGGAGCCTCTAGGGGCGGACGGCTGGAATGTTCGTTTCGTGGTCCCCCTTTCGGGTCCCTCTTGGGGCCGTCTTGGAGCCCTTTTGGGTCGTTTTGGGCGCCTCTTGTGCCGTCTTGGGGGCTTTTTGGAAGCCTATGGGGCCGTCTTAGGGCGGTCTTGGAGGCATCTTGGATGGGCTTCCGCTTTGTGAAGGCGGAAAAATCGTATGTGCTAGAGATGCACGTTTTCCGAAGGGACTTCGAAGATTTTGGCCTCTTGGAGGCCTCCTGGGAGGCCTCTTGGAACGTCTTGGCGGCCTCTTGGGCCGTCTTCGGCACATGTTAGGCGTCTTGGAACGATCTTTCGGCCCATGTTAGGCGTCTTGGAACGATCTTTCGGCGTCTCGGGACCCTCTTGGACCGTCTTGGGGGCCTCTAGAAGCTGTCGTGGACCTCCAAAAGGAGCCCGGAAAGGGCCGGACGCCCCTGGTGAGCTCCGGCCGGACGGCCCCCCCTCCAAACCGACCGGACCGGGCTCCAGGGGGAGGGGTGTGGGGAGGGAGAAGCATCTCACACGCCGATGATCCCCAAGGGGTCGGCGGATTTCAGAGGGTTCTAGAAGCTTCCAATAGGTTCTCGAGGGAGTCCAGGTTTTAGGGGTCAAGGTCCTCTACCCTGTACCCTCCTCCTCCTCGTTCTCCTCCTCCTCCTCCTCCTCCTCCTCCTCATCCTCATCCTCATCCTCATCCTCCTCCGTGTGCC